GGAGCTGGGGGCAGAGAGAAATCAGAAGTGACCGCTAATAGGTGCCTTGTTCACATCTCTACAGACCAGCAAGTACTCAGAAAATACTGGCTTATTTTATCTGCCTCTCCCAACCAGATGCTAGTTCTTTGTGGATGAAGGCTGTATCATTTTCTTGAACCGTCAGCCAGAGAAAGCACTCAATAAACACATGTAAAATGGAACATTTGGATTAGGAGTCTTTGTTCAATATATTTCGAGCAAAGAATAGCAAAGGTTACATGACTTTGGTGTAAATCCTTAGAGCATCTAAAACCTGAATTCTCTCTTGGATGTAATCACCAGGCATTCCCTTAGAGCTCTCATTCATCGGGTTTAGCATTGCCTTGCAAGTTACATTTACGGACGTGTTTGCTCCCACAAAGCTGGGGACTTGACTATCAGTGCATTTTGCTGCATTTACAGTGAAACAGGTCCTGGAACTCTGCACATTTTCTGTCCAGCATTTGTTAAGAAGATATCAAAGCAAACAACTGGCAATTTGGATGCGAAAGCAGTGATGTGACTGCTTAGGCGGCAGGTGGTTCAGGGGAAGGTGGCCCTGTAGGAAGATCTTGGGATCCCTTCTGTCACCCCCTGCATTGCTGCCGGGAGCAGAAAGTGTTGCAGTCAACCCAACCTCCACAGGCCATGCATCCTTACACACCTGGGAAGCCCACTCCAGGCTGTCCTAACCAATTAATCTACAAAACCCTGCTTGAGGACTGCCAAAATTTCCCCCGTCTTCCTGAAAAGAGATCCTCGTGCTTGCCACAGTAACTGCAGTTAACCCACAAGGCATCGGTTGCCCTTCAGGTGAGACCTTTCTTTCCCTAAATACTCATTTCCAAATGCTGGCTTTGCTGCTAGTGATTCCACATTGAGCCATTAGTCATGAAGGCTAATTGTGTCACTCTACGCTTATCTTCAACTGGTTCTCCCATCCCACCCATTCACCCACCAGCAACATCTGCCTATTTCTGGTCAAACCAACACAGTCCTTTCCAGGGCTGTGCCCTAGAAGTTCTCTCTGCCTACAACTTGCTCCCTCCCTTGAACCACAGAGCCCTTCATTCAGATCCGTTCAAATGTTGCCTTCTCAGGAAGACCTTCTTTGGCCCATCTCCGTGAAACCTTGCCATTCCACCTTCCATCTGTCTTTATGGTACCTATGGCTATCTAACTAGTGCACATTTGGGTTTTTTGGCTGTAAACCCACTCAAACGTATGCTTCCTCAGAACATTTTGGTCACTGTGGGTTCTCCTGCCACATTGCAGGTCTGCAGCAAATATCAGGTGAAGGAAGGAGGGAGTGAGAATTTGATTAACAGATTTAGAAATTACAAGGCAGCTCCTGTTTCCAGAGAGCTAAGTAGTAGTATCAAAGCCTCAACCATAGCATAAATGTCTGTATTGGGAGTTTCTATAAGTTTGTAATTCCCTGAAAGTTACAGAATGGGGCATCAATTGCAGCTCATCTGGTTACAAATAATAGAAATTCCTTCTCCAGCCAACTTGCATGGTCAAGGAAATTTACTGGAGTATCTGGCTACTGAGAGACAAGGGTTGAATCTGGGTTCAGAGTCCTCGTGACCAGGATTGGGTTTTTCTCTCCACTTCTCAGTACTGCCCAGGCAGCCTGAGTTTCGCTTCTACACCAAGTCTCCATATCTGTCATGGGGCCCCAAGGGTGTCAGCCACTCAAGATGCTTCCTCATTCGAATCCAATGAGTGAAGACTCTATTCTGGCAGCACCCAAGGACAAATGATGCTTTTCTCTCCCAGAAGTCCTTGCAGCCCATTGGCTCTGGCATATGTGAATCCATGGAGGCATCTTTGGAATCAGTAGGGGACAGAAGGGGCTTTGGCCGGGATCCAGCCCACCCACACGTCTGATACAAAAATGGTGGGGGCCGAAATTCCTCAAGAGGAAATCAGAGTTCTGTAGAGCAGAGAAGTGGCCAATCTCTGCTGGAAAGACCAACCACAAATGTCCAAAATCTTGTATATACCTAATGACTTAGGATGTTCAAATCCTAAAGTCAATTTAAATGTAGAGAAAAAGTTTACTTCTCTAAAACCGTTTCTTACCTCAAATTGTAGCTTCCTCAATTTTTAAGGGCAATGGAAATTTTTTATGTCTTGATTGTGGTGATAGTAACATGATTGTGTAAGTTGGTAAAATTTATAAAACTATATCCAAGTCTACAGACCTTATGTAAAAGGCGAGATAGACAATATTTTTGACTTTGCAGATCAAAACTGTTGCAGCTACTCAAGTCTGTCATTGTAGCAAGAAAGCATTTATAGGAGAGGCTGTGTGCCGGTAACAAAACAAGCAGTGGGCCAAACTGAACCCATGAGTTTATGTAGTCTGAAGACTTCTCATCTCCACATTTGCAAAAGAGTGAATTTTTATCATATATAGATTATATCTTGATAAACAAACAAACAAACAAAAAAAGTAAAACAGAAAAAAACACCTCCAGGAAAACAAAAACTTCAACTTATTTGAAGACTTTCTCAAGAGAATGGAGTTATTTATTTATTTATTATTTATTGTTTATTGTTTGTAAGAGGATTGCTGATAGTAATTGTGCAAAAGATGAGCCAGAAAGTTTACAGATAGTTAAATAGGGAATTTTAAACCTGACTATTTGAGATTATTTTATCAACTCACTTGGAAAATTCACCTAGAAAAGTCAAGTACCTTCCCTCTGCCCTTGACAAAGACACCTGTAGCTGGGTGAACTCCCTGTCAACTCTCTACACCAACTTGTTTTGGTTTGGTTTGGTTCAGTGGGAATACTTTAAGACTTAGCATCTTGCACTTGTGGTTTTTTATTGTTTGCTTCTTTTATGGCAAAGCAATCTTTATCGGACATAGATTGTAGATAAAAGCCAGTCATTTCTTCCCCTTCTCTAAACAACAGCACAAACAAAAGCATTTCTGAGGCTTTTAGGCCCACCAGAATAGAAAGAGAAATCCAACTACTGGGAACCAGAAAGTGAGCACTCTCAGGGAAAAAATAAATAAATAAATTTTAAGCAGGAGAGTTTAAAATCAGCACTCATCAGCTGGCATTCAAACACCCAAACTTGATGTAGGCAAAGTGATGTGGGGGTGTTACTGTACGTGTGGAAATTCAGGTTGTAGAAAAGATATACAATCAGCCTCTAGCACCTGGATTTTTTTCAAGATGTAGAATAAAGTAGTCAAAGTGTTCATCTCATCTTGGGTGGAAAAAATAGGCTTTTAAACCAAAGGTAACTAACATGAAGATCAGCTGGCATTTCTCATGAAGATGTCCCTTCCAACACACAAATGTCAGTCCTTTAGGGGATGTATATAAGGGGCAGATGCTGTGAGGCATGGCTCCAGAAAGACAAGTAAGACATGAGCTGCCCTTAAATACTGAGAGCCCAACTAAGACAGATGCACACGAATATTTAAGAAAGTGTGTTGTGTTAACATAGAGTCTCTAAATACTTTAACAATGCCAGGCAGATTTAATTTATGAGAGCTGGGGTTAAGCATAAAAGCAATACCATTTCTCTTTGAAGCAATACTACTAAGAAAATGGGACCACTGTCTTCTTCCTTGCCGCCTGCGGAGGTGGCCTCCATCTGTTCCTCAGCAGCATGGCGCCCTAATACCTTTGCTGAAACCACAAATTGTTAGAAAGAAGACCAGAAAGGCCATCAGATACCAGTAAGACTATATGTCAAAATTAAGTACAGCTGGCAGAAACCCAGAGGCACTGGGTTTCTGGACATTAGGGTGCACAGGAGAGTCAAGGGCCAGATCTTGATGCCCAACACTGGTTATGGGAGCAACAAAAAAACAAAGCACATGGTCCCCAATGGTGTCTGGTTTCTAGTCCACGACGTTGAGGAGTTTGGAGTGCTGCTGACATGCAACAGATCACACTATGTAGAGATTGCTCACAGCATCTCCTCCAAAAATTGCAAAGCCATTTGCAGAGAGAGCTGCCCAGCTGGCCCTCAGAGTCACCAATCGCAATGCCAGGCTGTCCATAAAACTACAAATATATACATATATATATGATCAAAAGAGTCATACAAGAGGGAAAAAAACAAATTCATTTTCTCCTTTTCCTAAGTCCTATGCTACCACAGACACGAGTGCAGAATTTTCTCTTTAAAAAAAAAAAAAATGCTGGGGCACCCGGGTGGCTCAGTGGTTGAGCATCTACCTTGAGTTCGTGATCCCAGGGTCCTGGAATCAAGTCCCACATCAGGCTCCCCATGGGAAACCTGCTTCTCCCTCTGCCTGTGTCTCTGCCTTTCTCTGTGTGTCTCTCGTGAATAAATAAAATCTTTTTTAAAAAATGCCAATTCAAGAGAGTGCTTAGGGGCACCTCGGCAGCTCAGCCCATTAAGCATCGGCCTTCAGCTCAGGTCATGATCTCAGGGTCCTGAGATCCAGCACCACATTGGCCTCCCTACTCAGCAGGGAGTCTGCTTCTCCCTCTCCATCTGCCCCTCCTCCTGCTTGTGCATACTCTCTCTGTTTCAAATAAATAAATAAAATCTTTGAAAAACCAAACAAGAGAATGCTTATTGTTACTCATTTTTGGTGTGATTATTTTGTTTTGTTTTTGTTAAATAACTTCAGATTAATATTACAAAAAGGAATTAGGAGTAAAATGAAGCTAGAAGGGACCATCAGAGTTAATGTTAGTAACAATCCTGGTCTCAGTAGCCATCAGAACATTTTACAGACAGAATTGTGATATGGTTGAAACAGCCAAGCCAGGAAGATAAAGTTAAGTTAAAAACATAGAGTCATTTTTTCCATGGAGTCATTTCCTACAATCGGACATAAATATCCCCAACACTCTTTGCCCCGGACATAAAATGGATAAGTTGAGAACAGCTCCTACAGTTGATTAGATTCACTGCAAGTTAATTTTGGGATGTGAAACCTTATATAAGAAGTTCTTAAACTGTACAGATACCTTAGAAGGATCACCAAGGTTCTTGTCTCAATGCAGATTCCCAGGCAGTGCTCCCAGACGGTTTGATTCTGGAGACGAACACGGGACCAGGAGTTTACCCTGTCATTCCACAGACCATCTCGCATTCCTCCTCTAGCCAGGAGAGAACCTGTAACTGCAAAAAGCAGTAATCTGCCATGTATCCAATCCTCCAGGTGACCCTTAACCCCGGAGGTTCCCAAACCTCAGCACCATTGACCTTTCAGGGCTTCCACCAAGAATAATTTGGGATGGACTAAGGTCTGACATAATGATCCTGTTGGATGCTCTCTAGTCCATTTGTAATCATTCAACGAGCAAATCAAAATTTTTAAGAGAAGATGCATTTGTAGTGAAATGTCATCAGTTCCATGGTTGCTTTTCCAATTGTGTCACAAAGATGTTTACTTCCTTCACATGACAGCTAATGCTATTTCTCTGAAGCTGCCAATTTTCCCGTATCAGCAGAGTAACTGTATCAGTGTTTTTTTTTCTTTGCAAAATAGAATTGCACACAGTCAACCTGAGGCATTTATAAAATCCCTATCACTGTCTTTTGACAAGTAAAGGAATCTCAGACCCAAATGCCTAGAAGGAATTTAATTATGTGATTATAGTTGCATAACTATATGATTTGTTGAGTCTTGGTAGGCAAAAAACTATTTTTCAGCTAGCCATTAATTGGTGTGGGACATTTGATTTTGCAATCACTACACTATGTGTTTATTGCTTATCTCTAAGTAAAAGACACTGGTGTGCCAAAATGACCTGCCTCAATGAACAAGAGATTTGGCAATTGTCTGAAACAGGGGTTGGCATATTACAGCCTGCCACCTGCTTTTGTAAAAAAAATAAATAAATAAAAAATAGAAAAGTTGTTTTATTGGCACATAGACATGTCCATTCATCCATTCATTTAGATATTGTCTATGGTTACTTTCCAGCCGCAACAACAGCAAAGTAGTTGCCACAGAAACCATATGGCCTAAAACCTAAAATATTTACAATCTGGCCCTTTTCCAGAAAAGTTTGCCAACCCTTGATCTTGTCAATTGAGACCACCAAAGTTAGGACTTAGCACAAAAGGGCCAGATAGATGAAAATGCGAGGTGTTGACAATGGCACCATACACATAGACTAATGTGGGGAAGGAAGCACTATGCATCAAAGCACTAGAAGAAATCACAGAGAAAAGACCTGTAGATTTCACAATATTAAATTTAAATGTTTTTTTAATTTAAGATAAAAAGGAAAAACAGTGCAAAAAAAGACTACAAAGAGGTTAAGATGCTCATTATCTAAACAACTCTCACAAATTTGTAGAAAAAGTCAATAGAAGAAACATAAAAGGAGTGGATACAAATTGCCACTTTATAGAACAAGAAGTATACAAAACTGATAAAGACGTGAAAAGATGCTCAATCTAAGTACTAATCAGAATAATTCAAAGTATAATGAAGCATCGTTTCAAATTGACAAAAATGGAGTGAAACATTGAGTGGTATCAAATCTTTATAAAGATGTGTAGACAAGGTGCCCTTGTGCCCCAACTATGGAAGGACATTTTGAAGGTCAGTTGGCAACATCTATTAAAAATTTAAATACATTGACTTTTGACCCCACAATTGGAATCCTTGATGTTCACCAGGGCAAAATGCTTGCCCTTCACAAGACCGTATGTCAAACAAACTCTGGAAAAGCCACACTACAAAATCTGGGCAGCAATTATAGAGCATGAAGGAGAAATGAATGTACTAATGTTGAAAGCGGTCCAAGGTTATTATCAACACAATAGAAGTGGTTTGCAAAGCAATATATCCATGAAAATACCATTGAGTTTTAAAAAAATCGTATCTTCAGGGGCACCTGGGTGGCTCAGTTGGTTAAGCAGCTGACTCTTGGTTTTAGCTCAGGTCATGATCTTGAGGTTGCGAGATGGAACCCCACGTCGGAGCCCCACTGCGCCCACTGCGACAGAGCCTGCTTCAGATGTTCTCTCCTTCTCCCTCCTGCTCACTCTCTTTCTCCCAAACAAATAGATAAAATCTTTTTAAAAAATCATATCTTCAACTTGTTATGGGTCAAATCATGTCCTGCGTATAAGGTATGTTGAAGGTGGCCATGAGATGGGACTTTGGCAAGGAATGTCAAATGCTATTTTCTTGGCAGAAAATATCAGAAGCTGGCAGAGACAAGGAAGGATCCTTTCCTAAAACCTTCATGAGGATCCTGGCCCTGCTAATACCTTGAGTGAAGACTTCCAGCCTCCAAAACTCAGAGACAATAAATTTCTGTTGTTTTAAGCCACCTAGATTTTGGTACTTTGTTACAGCAGCCCTAGGAAACTAATCCATAATCCATCACTTCTCCCCTAAAACCTCCAGGCATTTTTGGAGGGTTTGTGCAGATACTTATCTGTAAATGCACAGGAAATGACTGAGAAGATTATACTCCAATCAGTAATGGGTACCTATGGGCAGAATCTGCAGATGACACATGAGGTGAACCTGACCTTTCTATATATATTATTTGAAAACCCAGCAGCCAAGATGAGTATTCGTTTAAGTAAAAATTCTATTTTAAAGATGAAATGGTGAAGGGCATGCTCAGTGCCTCTCCCTTCTCTTGGAACAAGTGCCCCTCTTCTGGAACCCACCTCTCTCCATTCCAACTATTTGGCTGAAACAAAGGCATCCACCATTGATTGGTCCACACTGGGTCCCTTGGGTGTGATGGAATCCCTCCCCATCAGCACAGCTGTAGCCGGAAGCCTGGGACATGCTGGCCGCTGTGGCCACTGCTTGTCAGGAGCAGCAGCTCTAGGGGCAGAGGATAAAGCCAGTTTCCAAAGGGAAGCAGAGATGATGGACGGACATCTCTGTAAGAACGAGGGGCCTTGAAACCCGTTTCCAGCCACTCCAGAAACCTGCTACACTTCTATCCTCACTAGAGCCACTGCTCTCTGTCACCAATGCCACTCGGAATTGGGTCTTTGTCACTTACATTCAAAATAGTCCTACACAGAAGAGAACAAAGAAAACATAGGAGAATAAACACATGACTCGGGGATCCCTGGGTGGTGCAGCGGTTTGGCGCCTGCCTTTGGCCCAGGGCGCGATCCTGGAGACCCGGGATCGAATCCCACGTCGGGCTCCCGGTGCATGGAGCCTGCTTCTCCCTCTGCCTGTGTCTCTGCCTCTCTCTCTCTCACTGTGTGCCTATCATAAATAAATAAAAATTAAAAAAAAATTTTTTCAAAAAAAAATAAAATAAACACATGACTCTAAACGCCTGTTGAGAAAATGTTCAACCTTTTCGTTACCAAAGGAATACAAATTCGTTTAAAATCGGATATGTCTTTTTTTTTTTTTAAATTCAGTGGCATCTATGCCATGTGTGTGTCCCTTGAACTGAAATTCTCAACTTCAGGGAGGTGCAATGATAAACATATTTTTTTCTTCTTTATTTATACTTTTCTGTATTTGCTAAATCCTTACCAACAAGACATTCTGTATTAAAAAATTAATTTTTCCTTTTCTTCCCCCCCCCCTTTTTTTTAAAGAAAAGCCTTAGAAGAAATGAAGTGTGAAACATTCAGGACCTAGACATTGAGATTTTTCAAAGAATTGCAAGTATTTGCAGGGAGAAAAGACTCCAGGACGACTAATGGCTTAGAGCACATTATTTTTGGCTTCCTAGCACATCTCAAATACAGCATATTTACTACTAATCTGGGTGTAATAGTTGTGCCATCACCATGATTATGTCATATATTTAAACACTGTAATGTATCAGATCCTGCTAACTGGTGTGGTAGCTTATAGTTTTGCTATTCTAGGATCCTCTCTGAAGAAGGAGTAAACATCCCCATTCAACAGGTGTGCCTGGGTGGCACAGTCAGGTAAGCATTTGACTTTTGGTTTGGGCTCAGGTCATGATCTCGGAGTCGTGAGATCAAGCCCTGTGTCAGGCTCTGCACTTACCATAGAATCTGCTTGGGGTTCCTCTCTTCCTCTGCCTCTCCCCCAGTATTCACACACAGTCTCTCTCTCAAATCAATACAGAAATCTTAAAAAAAAAATTCCCACTCAGGTATTTCCAGGTGACCTGTTGCCCCCAGTGAAGGTGAGAAATGTGATGTTTTGGGATATATTTTATGATGTGGTTGTCATTTCCCCCATCTCCCCATTCCATCAACCTCAGTCCCCAAGTGACTACAATGAGCAGAGGCCCCAGGCCAGCTTACAGTGATATGTAGCAAGAGCAATAAATAAATAAATAAACAAGCAAAAAATAAGCTAAGTGTTAAAGTCACTGGGGCTTGTTTGTTACTGTGCCATCGCACAGCCTACCCTCACTAGTGCAAGGGGAACCCAAGAAAAGATTCCATAAGGAATCTTTGGAAAGAAAAGGAAGATTGCATGTACTGGGTTGCAAAACACATTTTAAGTACTGTTCTATTCTCTTGCTATTTTTACACACTGTAATTATTCTTCTTGATATTTTACTAACTTAGCAAAAGGTTCTAGTGCTTTTTGAGGCTGATTAACAAGCAAGCTAAGGGAAAAGCTTGGCTGGATCAGAAGCTTTAACATTTCTAGCACAGCTCACACTATGCACAAATTACACTGCTATCATCATAATCAAGCACAAACAGGCCACATTTCTGTAATACATTATCCAGCCCGTGATTCCCTCCACCCTGCACAGCGTCCCCTCTCTGTCTCAGAAGTAGAGGAGAATGTAATGGGAACCGCACAAGCAGCTCATAGTAATTTTTCCCAGATCTGTTTTTACTCCACTTCTAAGCCTGAGTGTAGACCCAAGATTTTTGCCTCATGGAAGCTAACTTAAATCATTTCATTAGACTCATGCTCAGCTTGTGAAGTGCACATATGCGGGGGCAGAGGGAAGGAATGCCTTTGTGCTGCATCAGGGATATGCAAAAATAGAGAAATAGCCCCTCAAGTAACAGTAAAAGAAGAACATTTTTCAATATAAGTTGATGGCAACCATCGTCAGTGATCTTGTGCATGAAAGGAATGCAGAGAAGGGTGAAATCACTTTTAGAAAGTAGACTGAGATCACCATCATCCAGAGCCAAAGAGCAGCTCATGAACTCAAGTTCCTGACAATGGAGCAAAGCACACACACACACACACACACACACACACACACACACAGGCTGGCATGCCATGTAACCGGCAGCACTGTCCACACACACAGCCACACACGCAGTGACACAGAGAAACATGCATGTTTTCGAGAGGTGGGCTGGGGAGTCAGGCCCATCAGCTGTGATCTGTGAACAGATGAGGTGCTTGCATGCTTGTCTTACTGATGAGGGAGGCTTAGAAGTGGTTCTGGAATAAAAAGATCACAAATGTCTTTTATGTTGATGTGATACCTCCTGGTGCTGGTCAGTGAATTTCTGCTGTCCTAACATTTTCAGCTTTAAGTCCGTTTCGACTCAAATAGGTAAACCACAACGTTTAATGAAAAGAAAACCCTCCTGTGGTCCGGGGCAACTTCACGTAGTGGAGTCATGCTGTTCAATGCCAACCAACATTGCCTGAGATGGCAATCTTTGGCAAGTTAAATGGTAATTATTCTGTCTGGTGAGACGCCACTTCCTGGTTCAGAGAAGGGCACCTCCTCGCTGTGCCCTCACACAGTGGCAGGGGCAAGGTAGCTCTCGACGGGTCTCTTGTATTAGGGCACTAACCCCATAACCTACCTCATGATCTAGTCCCCTCCCAAGGCCCCACCTCCAGATGCCATCATCTTGGCAGTCAGATCTCAACATTCCACCCGGGTGGGGGCGAGACCAACCTGGAGAGCACAGCATCCCTGGGACGGCTCCATGCCGTTGTTGATACCAAATTCTGGCATCGTTTTGCTCACGGCAACCATACTGAGTAGAAAATCCCACGATCAACTTCTGAAAGCAACAAATGCTTTAGAAATGATCAGACTGATCATTTGTGTCTCAATGTATATCATTGGAAAGTAGTTTTAATCACAGATGGTTTAGTCGGAGAATAAAAGGGAATATACTGTTTACATTGTTATTTAAGTATTAATTTATATAACCAAGTCCTTTGTGTGTTTCCTATGACTATAGATTTTGTGTTCTTTCTTTTAAGATTTTAATTTATTCATGAGAGGCAGAGACATAGGGAGAAGCAGGCTCCCCACAGGGAGCCTGATGTGGGGCTCGATCCCTGGACCCCGGGATCACGACCTAAGCCAAAGGCAGATGCTCAACCACTGAGCCACCCAGGGGCCCCTAGATTTTGTCTTCTAAAACACTCCAAAGGGCAATTCCGATGGTGAAATAACATATATAAACTCCTAAGCAAAGTTCCCATTGCATGGTAGCATAGACTAAATTTTACTTACTTTTCTTCTAGTAGAACATCTAGACTTTGGACAAGTTAATGAAAACCAAGACATGGAAGTCATGTGAACGAGCCATTCACTGTAATCCCTGAAGGCTGTAAACTTGCACATTTGAAAAGTGCACCCCATCACCAGCCGTAATCTAATGCCACAGGAGTTCCCAGCTACTTAAGCAATAACTTTAGTTCCAACGCAATTACGCTTATGCGCCAGCGTCAACAGGGAAAAATAACAATGAAAATTGAAATTCAACTTACACATTGACACTGAGGCACAATTCATGGACGGCAGAACTGAAAGGACATAAATTGTTTCCAGTTTCCCTCAACACTGAAGAGAAGAGCATGAAACAGGTAATAAATCAAACTTTAATTTAGAAATTTCCTGGGATTACACTTTCATTTGTGATCTTTTTATTCTGGAAGCACTTCTAAGCCTCCCACATCAGTAAAAGAAACATCCAAGCACCTCCTCTGTTTATACATCGTAGCTGACGGGTCTGACTCCCTAGCCCACCTCTCAAAAATGTACGTGCACCTGTCACTGGTATTTTTGTATGTGTGTGATCCTGAACAGCCTTCACATTTCCGGGTATTTTCCAATCACATGGAAATCAATTCTCCTAAATGATATCATGCCATTCTCTCAGCAGATAAAAACACTTTAATTGGGTGAGAAAAGGGATTTACTACTCCAACAGCTCTTTGTAAAAATTCCTTTCACTTTCTCAGCATCAAAGCCCCCGTTACTATTGCTTCATTTCTTTTTTTTTTATTGCTTCATTTCTTTAACATATGTTAGATGGTGTTATTTTTTTTTTAAGATTTTATTTATTTATTCATGAGAGATACAGAGAGAAAGAGAGGCAGAGACACAGGCAGAGGGAGAAGCAGGCTCCGTGCAGGGAGCCTGATGTGGGCCTCGATCCCGGGACTCCAGGATCATGCCCTGGGCCGAAGGCAGGCGCTAAACCTCTGAGCCACCCAGGAATCCCCTGGTGTTGCTATTTTTCAAATGGATTGTGCGTGAAGCATGCCCTTATATTTCTATACCACTCAGGACAAAATATATATCCCGGGTTCTGTTTGCCTCTGAAAGATGGATGACAACCCACCTACACAACCCTGTGCATGTATCCCGGAGGCTTTGAGGCAAGTAAAGACTCACACACCAGTGGCCCTATTCATGCTTTTTCTTCTCCTTTATTAACAAAACAAAACAAAACAAAAAAACAATATTTTGTCAATATGTTCCTATTTAGTAGTTGAACCATCTTGAGAAAGGTAAATTGTCCACTTACCAATTTTTTCCTGCTCTGCCCAAATCAATGAGGCTAAGAGACATGTGGAGATATTCAATTTAAAAATTATAAATAAAAACCCTACATCTCTCAAGCAGGCATCAGCAAACCATACCTGTTGGCCAAATAAGGGGCTGCCTATTTTTATAAAGTTTTTTTTTTTTTTTAAAAAAAGATCTGATTTTTAAGCAATCTCTACACCCCATGTGGGGCTCAAACTCACAACCCTAAGACCAAGAGTTGCAAGCTCTATGGACTGAGCCAGCCAGGCACCCCTATAAAGTTTTATTGGCACTCGGCCACACCTACTTGTTTACATATTGTCTATGGCTACAAAGTTGACGATTTTCCAAAAAGACTCAATCCCCCACAAAGCCTAAAATAATTACAGTCTGGCCCTTTACAGAAAACATTTGCCAATCCTTGCTCTAAAGAGGTACTAGCAGAAATATAATGCAGGCCACAAATGTCATTCTGAATTATTTCGTAGCCATATTAAAAATTAAAAAGAGGGCAGCCCGGGTGGCTCAGTGGTTTAGCGCCACCTTTGGCCCAGGATATGATCCTGGAGACCCGGGATCAAGTCTCATGTCAGGCTCCCTGCATGGAGCCTGCTTCTCCCTCTGCCTGTGTCTCTGCCTCTCTTTCTCTCTCTCATGAGTGAATAAATAAATAAAATATTAAAAAATAAAAAATAATAAAAAATTAAAATTAAAAAGAAACAAGTGAAATCAATTTTAATATATTTTAGCCCAAAATATGTAAATAGTGTCATTTTATCATATGATCAATACTGAAGTTATTCATGAGAAATCGTCTTTTTTCTTCCTTCATACAAATTCTCAGAAGTGTACCTCATATAGCATTTCAGATTAGCCACAGTTCAAGAGCTTGGTAGCCACTTGTGACTGACTAGTGACCATGACATTGGTCCCTGCAGCTCTAAAGGGCTTGCTAAGTGAAAAGAGAAAGGGAAGAAAAAGGATGAATTTTTCAGTGAAGGCTCCAGCTTCACACAAGTGGAATGTGAGATAATGCACGTTTTGCTCATGCAAAGTATATACTGAGTAATTTGGGGGACATAAAACATCATTTGTCACATACCTGAAATTCACCTGTCAACTGGCTGTCCCGATTTTATCTGGTCACTTCCGCCTCAGGCCCTGAATCTTCCTCCTCAGTAAAATTTCAAGTGGCAGGGAGCGAATGGAGGGAACGTTTTCCTAGCGCCTCCGCTCTGCTTGGGTGCCTCAAGTCAGCATGTAATTGATTTTGAAAATTGCTGGTGTGCACACACTCGATGGCCTTGGAGATCAATTAATGCTAAATTCATCCAGCCCAAGGGCTGCCAGGTGTCACACAGAAGGCGAAGGCTGTGTCTCCCTAGTACGAGTCTGCAATGTCACCACCAACTAATGAACCTACGAACTTGAAATGTAGACGCCATCTTCCTCTTCAGAAGGTTTTACTTAAAAAAATGTGTGTTGTCCCACTAATACACTGGCACGCCTTGCACAGAAAAGGAAGAGTCCACCCAATGATCACTCACAGTAAAAGTGGACTACAGGTAACCCTTCTTCTTCCTATGGAAAACTAATAAATAATGACCATCTCCTTTTCGCTTCCAGGAAAGTAGGCCAACACTTCTGGAAGCCTTGAAGTGCAGAGCTAGGCAATGCAGAGTGAGATGACCAGAGCAATTTTAGAACATGAGAGCTGTCTGGGAATCCACATACAAATCTGAGTGGTGAAAACCAAGCCCTGTGTGTTCTGTTTCCTATACTCAAAAAACTTGGTGACACAATTCAATATTGTCCATCATGGAGGTTTCTGAACATGTTCTCTTCTGAAGGCAACGCAAGCAGAGTTCAAAGCATTGGACGAACATCAGACAGTGTGGAACAGTGTCATCAGGTGAGAGAACGGTGTGATTTGGCAGTCGGGGGATTCGGCAGATGAGTGAACCGCTTGGCAATTGTAGCATGATCAAAGCTGTCTACACAATTTGAACAGGTAAGAATAGACCCAAAAAAAACGAAGGAGAAAATGATCTAGTGACAGCTACAATTATGCTCTTTTCCTTTTACTCATCTTGAAAAATCATCTGGGAGAAACTTTCTCACAGAAAGAACAGAGAAGCTTTATGTTATTCTCTTTCAAATTAATTTACTTGCAGAACTCAAGATTCGAAGCACCTTGCCATCAATCCATTATTCAATGATCACTCAAAAGATGTTTCTGTGCAGAATGAGGGTTATCTTTTAGGGGGCACGAAAAAAATTTTAAAACTGTGTGCACACCACTGTGGTCAAATGAGTATTAAAATCCAAGAGGAAGCTGAAATAATTCCACCCCAATTGAAGACACCAGAATCTTCAAAGTTCTCCATGTTTTTCTTCTCATTTCAACTATATTTTCATATAGCTTCAATTACACGCAGAGGCATGAGGAGGACTTGTAAAGTCTCCAGAATTCCATGGACAGTCATCAGCTTCTCACAGGCTCTCCATTTGGATCGGTACCATGTGTTCATCTTATTTTCCTGACAGCTTGCCCACTTTCTCTGGAGATTCTTTTCTCCTACAAACCAGAAAGCTCACTCCAAAAGAGAAAGCACAAAGTGCCCTGGAAAAACAACAGCCTCCATCCATGTCACTAGGTTTATAAATTAGTTCTGTTGTTATTTGTTTTTTAGCTCTCTGTACCGGGAAAAAAAATATTTTTTAAAGATTTTATTTATTTATTCATGAGAGACACAGAGAGAGAGGCAGAGACACAGGCAGGGGGAGAAGCAGGCTCCACGCAGGGAGCCCAGTGCAGGACTCTATCCCGGAACCTCGGGATCACGCCCTGAGCTGAAGGCAGCGCTAAACCGCTGAGTTTAGCTGCCCAAGTACTAGGAAAATATTGACAAAATAGTCCATCAGTTTCTCAAATGTGGTATAGGACATAAAGAGTTCTTTCTCCCATAGGTTAAAAAAAAAAAAAAAAAAAAAAAAAAAGGAGACTGCCAGGTATCTCCACTGTCAAGCCACTTTTAAGTTATGCTATATTCATTCTAGAATTCCTCAGTAAGTTGAAATAAAATCACTGTGAATGTACTTAAAGCCATTGGAGTGTATACTTAAAAATGCTGAAAATGGTAACTGTTGTGTTATATATATTTTGCCACAATAAAAAAATAGAAATACAAAAAAATGAAACCATGAAGTATAGCCATCCACAAACAAAATGACATCCACGATTCAGTGTTGATAGTAAAGTCCTAATCCTGTGTTCCTGGCACCTACCAGACACCATGTCTGGTTTTCCTCCATGACTTGAAGTTCCAAAAGTTGTTCCCCCTACTGAACACTTTTTTTTGGGGGGGAGGGGTCATACTGCCAGTCAGTCCTATCCCTAAACAGGATTGTAATTTAAATATGCTGTTAAAATCCAAGGCTAGACTCTTCTCATCATGGTCCAGTTATTTTGGCCTGAGGTACAGACAAACAGAATTCCATTTAAATATTACAGTAATAACCAGTTACCTCTTTAAAATCCATGGCCACGCTCATATTTCTCCTTTGTTGATGGTCATCAACAATTTCTGTGTACTGGGAAGTTGGTGTTAGCCTTTTCATAAGTGATCAAATTCTTCCATGAGGATTTGTAAATTTTTTTCATACTGACAGCTAACTTATGAGTAGGTATGTTTCAGTGTTTTCCCTGAGATTAAGCATTCCTTAGAAAATTCCACACACTCCCCATCTGTTGCATTGGTTGGCTTTGGGGGTGGTTTTCATGATTTTGTGATTGGTTAGTTGTGAGGTGTCTTCTCTATACAGGACGCTTTGTGGACTTGGAGGAAGATGGGCGAGTTCAGAGGGAAGGGGGGCATTGCTGAGACTTAATAAAAAAGAAAGAGGGCTGTGGGAGAGCCAGATCCTTTCACACGGAGGAACACAGGGCAGAGCAAAGTAGGCAGATGGGGTGATGAGTTCTGTAGGCTGGGGAAAGTGCTCCAGGCTAAGGGGCTTAGGTTATATGCCCTGGAAGGGAAAAGGGGTGTGTGTCACTGGAAGATTTTTAGCAAGGATGCATGTAGTGGGTTACATAGCAACCTCAAATATGTGTCTAAGCCTAACTCCTGGAATCTCAGAATCTGACCAAAGAAGGGGTTTTGCAGGTGCAAGTAATGTTAGGATCTTGAGATGAGGTCATCCCAGATTTTGGGTGAGCCCTACATCCAATGACTTGTGTCCTTATTAACAGAAAGGAGAGGCAGACAAGAGACGCAGAGAACAAAGAGGCCATTCGAGGACCAGGGCCAAGATTGGAGTGGCAAGTCAACAAGTCAAGGACTGCTACTAGGCCCCAAAAACTGAGAGAGGGGTATGGCACGGATTCTCCCCGAGTGCAGAGGAACACCTCCTGCAGACAGACGCCTTGATCTCAGGCTTGTGGCCTCCAGAACAGTGGGAGAATAACTTCCTACAATTACAACCCCCGTCACCCCCTTCTCCTGAGTTTATGTGCACTTGCTACAGCAGCCCAAGGAAACCAATACACATTCACGTAATCATGTCTGCATTCCAGAAACACTGGTCTGGCTTCCATAGAGGAAAACAGCTTGACCTAAAAGATTCAAGTGCTAAGGGAGACCAGTTAGGAAGACTGGCAATAATCCAGGTGAGAACTGCAAAGACCCAGTACTGAGACAGGGCAGTGAAGGCATTATTGAGGCAAAGGCCTTTCACAGACATCGTCAGAGGTAGATTTGGGTGTGGGGGGTGGGCAGCAAGGAGCCAAGGACAGGAGCTATGGGGGGCAGGGGTGGGGGAGGGGTGTGGGGGTGATACAGGCACAGGTATTACCTGAAAAGCAGGGCAGCTGGGCCCCAGAGACGGCAGGGGAGGTAGGCATGGTGCAGATGAGATTCATCATTGCCAAGTTAAAGAAATGAACAATGTTCGATATGATGACCCCCGCGAGTCAAGGTCATCTGCTGAGAGTGTGTGGAGAACGACCGGGAGAGAGCCCTGCCAGCCCAAAGAGCGTGGGTCTGGAGGAGGGGGGAGAGCTGAAGATGGTCTCCCAGAATCGCTCTCTCTCATGAGGGCCCAGCTGGGGTTGAAGATCATGATCTGTAGTAACGTGAATTCACTCGGTTGTGCAATTTTTCTTCAGCAGCCATCAGCAGTTTGGATGTGCACCAAGGACAGCAGATGGCTGGGCTGATTCAAGATCGGGCTTCCGCAAAGAGCAGTACATAACATTTCAGTTTGTTTCCAATATGAGCTCTGTTGGACCGATCAACTCCAATAAATTCTCCACTATAAACATCGGGTACAAAAAATGCTCCCTAATGGATAAATACATTGTGGTACAGTCATATGTTGAATGCTATGATAGCCTTGAGGATGAATGAGCTATAGTGCAGCAGAGGGAACATCACGCACATAATGTCAAGTGACAGATGCGAGACACCCCCCCTCCGCAGGATACACGCAGTACAGTTCCATCAATACAAAATCCATTCCATTTAAGGGTGCATACGTGGAATAAAAGTATAGAGAAGAGCAAGGAGATGATTATCCCCAAAGTCAAAAGAGTGATAAATTCTGGTAGGGAACGGTGGGTTTGGTGATCATGGGGGTTTCCTGAGCAGCTGGTAACATTCCCCTTCTCAACTTGGGTGACGACTAGTTGTTCTTTCTCTATTACTCAATAAAATATGTATATTTTGAATGCTCCCTTGTGTCCAGAGGTCATATGTCATAATGAAGGATAAAAAGAAAAGAGGTAAATCCTCTGTGACACTAATGGCATTCAATTATCACTTGAATTCTCTACAAAACAGAGATTAGCATTCTAATAAGTCAGGAAATATTTTTCAGGGGCAAGCATTAGCAACCTAAATCAAACTAGGCTAAGAAAAAAAAAAAGAAACATTGATTCATGTAATTGAATACTCCACGTGTGGCCTTCAGGCATGGCTAGATACAGGTGCTCAAATGCTACCTAATAGGGTCTCTATTCCTTGGCTCCATGTTTCCCAGTACCTCAGTGCTGTCTTCAGTCTCAAGCACTGATTAAAAAAAAAAAAAAAAAAAGAAAAGAAAGACTATGGATTTTATCATAATTAGGTTTACATTTACATTACAGGCTTAGCAAGCAAACAAGCAAGCAAATAAATAACCAAAGAATAATAAACCTCTTTGTCAGTAATTGTAATGAAAGCCCATACCTGGCTCTTTCTGGATTATCATGGATAACAGATTCTTCCCTCAGCAGTCACTGTAGCCAAGGGATGTGACATGCTGTTTGGCCAGACCTGGTCCCCAGGTTTACCCCCAGAGCTCTGTATGTCACAGAGTGACAGCCAAGTATTCCCTAAAGAAACTTTATTTGTTTTAACCAAAATAAAGGGAATGGACATGGAAGCAGACAAAATCCACCAACGTGCACTATATTTCCATCTTCCTTTGGTGCTATCACCAAGTAGTAATTTCCTTTCACTTCCCATTCCTATACAACAAACAAGCCACCTCCAAATAAAGAGCAAAGGCAAACAAAATAAAATACACAAAAAAAGACCCAGGAAGGTAGAAAGAAGCCAAAAGACTTGAAAGAATGAGTGAATGATTCCATGTTCCCCAACCTCTGGCCTCTCATTAATTACTTGCTGGAAGTTTGGGCCAGAGCCTATATACATAATTATATAATTTCTATCGAATTACTGATAATGGATTCCTGCTAGCATGGTTCAGTAGAATAGAATGTGACATTACGCTTGGCAGGACAATGAAGGGTGCCAAATGGACCCAACTCCCTCAGCCTTTGCCCAGTGACCTGCAAATTCTGTCCTGGAGCCTCTGGGAACAAATGAAACTCAGTCAGCTCTCTAGAGTGAATGAAGGGGGAAGATCATGAATGCCCTGGGAGGGTCCGGGACAAAATGGATTTCCCCCAGAAGGAAAGGACAAACTGATCAAGGCCGCCAGGGCTCCAGGAGTACTCCAAGATAATCACAACCAAGAATAGGTCCTCATTAACGTCTGTCATTCACGGAATCCTTTATGCCTCTGTGGACGCTGCCAAGGAAGAACTTCAAGGCAGATCTGCGCAAATTTGAAAGCATCCTGAGATCACTAACTCTTTCTAGCCACCCCACACTGGAATCAAATGTTAATAAAGGCTGTCGAAACCATAGCTCAAACAGACTTTAGGCTCCAGACGGCTTCCTTCTTCTCTTTTCTTTTCTTTTCTTTCTCTCTTTCTTTCTTTCTTTTTTATTTTTTTAAGATTTTATTTATTTATTCATGAGAGACACAGAGAAGAGAGGCAAAGACTTAGAGGGAGAAGCTGGCTCCCTGTGGGGAGCCGGATGCGGGACTTGATCCAGGGACTCAAGGATCACCACCTGAGCCCAAGGCAGACACTCAACCACTGGAGCCACCCAGGTGCCCCTCCTTTCTTTTTTTGTGTGTTTTCGTTTTAACATCTCCTTTCTGAGAATAGCTTGAGGAAATCCAAAATATGGGAACATCCACATCCTCTCCCCAGCAAAGGCAACTAAAAAGAGAGCACTCTCCTTTCAATAATTACATTATCATTTTGCAACAAAAGGCTTTGAGGCTTCTGTCACCTACGATCAATGAAGATTAAATTCACATCTTGAAAACCCACATGATTTTTCCACAAACATACCTTAGGCTCCCTCCTAGGTGCCAAGCACTACGGTAAACTCTGAGGACACAAACAATAATGGGACACGACTCCTGCCAAAGAGAGATGAGTCAGGGAACCTCGTCTCTAGTAGCATTTTCAGATGACCCTCATGCTGTGATGAAGATGGAATATAGAAGTAATCTCTTCTTTAAAAATCTGTCATCTCCCAGAAAAGAGAATTAAAACTGCAGCTGTCATATGGGCGAATGGCCCG